CTATGGGGAGGACATCGGGGGCCGTTTTCCCCCTCCCGAGGACCACGTCCTGGCAATTGCCGAACGCAATGCATGGCGGAAGATTCACGAGCAGATGCATGAGGGCAGCACCCTCAAGGCGGCCATGCTGTCGGTAAGGCAGGACACATTGTTTTGGACACGTGAGGTCTATGAGAAGATCAGGACCTTCTCCAGGGGCCGCCCACAGACCAGGACATGGACTACGCACCACCCGAGAAGGGCAAGAACAAGTCCAGGGGCAAGGGGAAGTCCAGGGGCAAGCCTGGGAGCAAAGGGAAAGGTAAGCCCCCCCAGCCGAACAATCAGGCCTCCAGGGGCAGTAACAAGCAGGCGGCCACCGATCCGAAAGGGAACCAGTTCTGTAACAACTGGATGCGCGGGCGCTGCAACTGCGGACGCACGCACAAGTGCAACCTCATCCTGGCGACGGGCCGCATCTGCCTGGGAGACCACCTCCCGCAGGACTGCCCGGGTTGACTAGGGGCTCGGACCCCGACCCCCCGGGAGGCCTCAGGTGCCGAGGGCCCTGATAGGGCCGGGGGGGCGAGAGGGGGCGAAAACGCCCCAAGCAGGCACATGAGCCTGTTCCTGCAGGTGTTGAGGGCCCTGACACAGGGGGGGGACAGGCCAGGTGGCGGCCCTCCTCGGCGGAACAAGGATGGGGACGACAGAACCAGCGTGCACAACACCCCAGCTGGGGTCAGAACAACCACACAGCTGACACAACGGCAACGCCGCAGCCCCGTGCCACAGGTGCCGAGGGCCCTGAGATGGCAGGGGCGGGACGGTTCCCCGCAGGTGCCAAGGGCCCTGACACGGGGGGCCGCGCCCAGCAGGCCCGAGTGCCGGACAACTGGCAGCACACCGCAACGCCGAGGAACACGCCCAGGAGGCAGCCGATCCCACTTCCGGCGCCCAACATCATCAAGCAGGACCCGGTGGTTTTTCATAAGAGTTCTGTTGGGCTGAATGAAGGGGGCCAACGCCTTTCAGCTACCCCCCTGACAAGTCCCACGGAGCTGTCACCGGGAGGGGACACCTTCCCGTGGATGGAGAACATCCCGGAGCGCCTGGCACAGCGGCTGAGATGGACACAGGGCACATCGCCCAAAGTTCCATCCAGTGGGCCCATCATTGTCCTGCTCTATGCAGGCAAGGAAGACCCAACTTCCTTAGACAGCTGTCTTCATGCCAACTACCCGCACCTCTCCAGCATGGTGGTGGCAGTAGACATCCTACGATCGGGACCAAAAGGGAACCACGACATGCTCCAACCCGAGCTGTATGGAGCGCTCTGCACGGCAGCAAAGCAGGGCCGAGTGGTCTTCATTGGGGGAGGACCCAACTGCAGGACATGGTCCATCCTGCGCCACATACCAAAACCGGGGGCCCCCACCCCGGTGCGAGGACGCACTCGAGAGACACTTTGGGGCCTCCCACACCTGGACCAGGCCGCCCAGACTCAGCTTGATGAGGACAGTACCCTCATTTTGAGGCAGATGTACATCACCAGCCTGGCAAGGGCCTCAAGATCGGCGGTCTCTCTGCCAGGGCCAAAATCCTTCCTGGAGCACCCGGAGGACCCAGTGGTGAGCAGCTCGCTGCCCAAAGCCAAGGAATGCTCATCCTTCTGGATCACGGAGGAGGGGCAGCTTTGGATGGAGGAAAACTCCTGACAGCAATCTCCTTCGACCAGTGCCGCCTGGGCCAGCTGGTCAAGAAGGCCACCACACTTGCCACGGATCTCCCAATCCAGGACTGGGATCAAATGCGGTGCACACATCAGTCACATGTGGGCACCAGCGAGTCCTCGACTCTCAGCAGATACCCCTGGGATATGATGGCAGGCCTGGCCAAAGCCATCGCTGTGTCACTCGCAGCGCCGGGGCACATCCGGATCCCCTCACAATTCCCGGGAAACCCTAAGGAACCACCTAAGGGAAGGGGGTCGGACCCCCCTGGGGGCCCTTCTCCCCGGGGAAAACGGGGACCCAATCAGGGAGGCGGTCCCTCCTCGTCACACCAGGGCCCAGAGCCCGGAGGCAAGAATGCCCCGAAGCCCCGCCAGCACGGGCACATCCACCATGAGGCTGACACCGTAAGCCCTCGTGGAACTATGAGTCCAGACTTCCCATCTCCCATGCCCCCGATGGCCGGAGATGCGGAACAACTGGAAAAGGAAGAACAAGGGGACCAGGTCCTGGACCGCCCCGAATGTCTGCCCGCTTTCCGGGTCCCACGCCTCACTGACCGAGTTGCGATTGTCCAATTGGGTTTCCGTTCACGCCCCCTGAGAGATGGGGGGGGGGGGAGGCTCAACCCCCCCTTTCGGAGAATTTCCCCTTTGGCTACTTTGGGCGCCCTGATCATGACCCTTACCAGGCCCTGGATTGACAAGGTCCGGATGTCCCTGGCATCAGGTGCCACCACACACCCCTTCCAGGAAGCCGACCTCGAGGAGCTGCGGGCTATCCTAGGACCGAGGCACCTCCATGAACGATGCCCAGGACAACCCTTCCTCCTGGACTTAGTGTCGCACTTGGCATCCCTTTCAGGTGACCCTGATTGGGAGTTCCCCCTGACACTGAAAGAGGGGGTCCCCTTGGGAGTCTCGGACCCTACCTTGACCTCCCCGGGAGTTTGGCCCACTAAGGAGGAGCTTAAGGGAGAAGCCTGGCTGGGGGAAGACCCCCCCCCGCCAGTGGCTCATGATAACTACCCAACGGCGGAACTCTTTGCCGAGGAAATCGAATCAACCTTTTACGAGGAACGAGCCTTGGACATGGTGGACGGGCCCTTCACTCGCTCCGAGGCGGCGGAGAGGTGCCGCTGTAAACCGGAGGAACTTTGCCCGGGCCCCCTTGCAGGGATTGATGAGTCGGACAAGATCAGGACGATTTACGATGGCTCCAAAGGGGGAGCAAACGCACACATCCAGGCTCACACAGGGGAGAAGACCACTGCACCGATGGTCGGAGACTGCCTCCACGCCATCCACTGGCTCAGGACAGCGACGGACCATCCCCATCTACTTGGGGCCACGCTCCCGAACACTGAGGAGAGACCTCGGGATGTTCCCCAGCCGTTGCAGGGGCAGTCCCCAGGTGCCGAGGGCCCTGAGAGGGACCCCCGCAGCACCAGCCTGTTTTGCAGGGCCGAGGGGCCTGATCGGGGCAGGGGGATTATGGATACCTCCAGCGGCATGGACGTCTCTCTGGGATCGACACCCTCAGGAAAGGGACCACTCCCAGGTGCCGAGGGCCCTGATAGGAGGGCCCCCTTCCCCCCAACCCCCCCGGGCACGGAATGTCCTGGGGGGAGCGGGGGGGAACCCCTGAGATGGCAGCTGCCGACACAGGGGGAAACCTTCATCATCCTCAAGGCGGATGTCACCAAGGCCCACAGGCGTATTAAAGTGCTCCCTAAAGACTGGAAATACCAGGTGGCCTGCATCCAAAACCGGTGGTGGGTCAACAGAGTGGGCACGTACGGCATGGCCTCGGCACAGCTGTACTGGGGAAGAAAGGCATCCCGGGGGCGCGGGCTCTTGTACTACATCTTCCCCCATGTGGACTGGCACTTAGTCTTTGTGGACGACTACTGCTGGGTCCTCAGATGCAGCCGGGCGGACTGGGACGCCACAGCCATCTTGGCTACACTGCTGGCGCTGGGAGTCCCGCTTTCCTGGAAGAAGACGGCGCTCTCCCCGATCAATACCTGGTTGGGTTTTGTGGTGGACCCAATCACGCCCTGTGTACTGCTGGCTCCAGTCAAACACGTCATAATCCTGGCCACTCTTAAACGGCTGGCCCAGGGGGACATCTTCACCAGCAAGGAGGTGGAACAAGCCCTAGGCCGTATTCAATGGGCTACTTCGGCGTGCCCATTGACGAAACCTTTCCTCCAGCCTTTTTGGAGCTGGAAGAAGGCCTGCACCACTTCGGGCAGGCCACCGAAGCTGGTTCGTGCTCTGGCCATACTTTTGGGGAGACTCTTCAACCAGAGGTTCCCACTGGCATCCCCATTTGCTCCCACACTCCCATGGACGGGGGCATCTGATGCGGGAGCTGGCAGACAGGCGGACCATGCATGGGTGGGTGGTTGGTGCTCGGACGTGCCCAACCCCGACAAGTCCCGTGTTAAGTGGTTCCAGCACAAAATCACACCGGAGGGCGAGCCGTGGGCCTTCACTACTGGGGACCCACAGCGGGCGATAGCGGCCTTGGAGCTCTTCGGCCTCCTCCTTTTGGTGAGGGCCGTTCTGCTTTGTGCAGCCGGCTCGGCTTCTCACACTAGGATCCTGGTGGCTAGTGATAACCAGGGAAATGTTTTCTCCCTTCTTAACGATTCCACTCGTAGGATGCCCAATGCGGCCATCCTCATGGAAATTGTGCTCACGCTGCATGACCAGCAGGTCATGCTGGGGCCGTCGCATGTGAAACGCGACTTCAACACTTGGGCGGATGAGCTTACTCATCCGGACCCGCAATTCCCGACTGAGAACCGGGTCTTCCCCTCAGTCGAGAGCGAATTGATCACACGGATCTTCGCTACATTCCTTCCTCACCCATGATGCCGGGAGGGCATCCGGTGAGGTGGGAGGATTTCTCCCTCGCTGTGGGAGTGGCATCAATCCTACTCCCATCAGCTGCTGAGGGGAGCTGCCCAGTGGAACTGGGCAATCCTCCCATTTTGGCACTAACCCTTATGCGGCAACAAAGGAGGCACCGTTTTGCGAATAAGGCCTCAGTAGCACCTGAGTGGTGCTTCAAAGAGTCTGGAAGGAGATGTCGAGTTAGTCCAATTGAAAACGGGGGTGCCAGGTTTTGCTTTGCGCATGTGAAGTGAAATGTGCATGCCGGCATGTGCAACGCGCCCGACTTCGTGATCAGTTGTTTTTCCTCATCAATGGGCACACCCTGCAAAACTTTGCCAAAGCGTCTCTGCAGGTTTTTTGAAGTTCCAGGGCAATCCCTGAGGTACGAGACTTGGAAAACGGAGCAGGCGGTGGGCTACATGGCCTCTTGCTTTCTCTGGGGCGAGACCTATACGAGCCTCGCTCTGCAACTTGAGAAACTGATCCTCGGGGATGCGTGAGGGTGGGGGGAGATGTCCAGAGGAGCACAGTGGTTACCGGCAGTCCATAGAGTCAACAGAAGCCCCCAAAGGGACGAAATGATCATGGCCGTGGAACTTGGACGGCAATTTAGATCAATAGTCTGCTACGGTTTGGGTATGACATTGGTGAGTAATCCAAGTTCCCAAGAAAAACTGGTGGACTCGGCCTGGGCCCCAATTTTGTAGTTTTTGGACAAACAAGTCATTTTGTCCGTTGCTCATATGAAGGACTCCACTTTGGGTGCTTTTATCAACAATTTGTGTGTGTGGGTGGGTGGGCGCGGGCGCGGGCGCGGGCAGGGGCTCGGGCGCGTGTGCGTGCGCGTGCGCGTCTGGCTGTCCTGGCCGTCCTGGCCGTCCTGGCCGTCCTGGCCGTCCTGGCCGTCCTGGCCGTCCTGGCCGTCCTGGCCGTCCTGGCCGTCCTGGCCGTCCTGACCGTCCTGGCCGTCCTGCCGTCCTGCCGTCCTGCCGTCTGCCGTCTGCCGCAACAGCCCAACAGCCAAACAGCAACAACAGCCCGACAACCCAGTAGCCCAACAACCCAGTAGCTAAACATTCCAAAGAACAACCCAGCCCAACCACAAACTTTAATCCCAGCAGAAGTGGAACCTGACAGAGCCCAACAGCCCAGCAACAACAATACCCAAGAACCCAACCAACAGCCCAGCAGTGCAACAGCGCAGCCCAGCAAAACCAAGAACCCAGCCAACAGCCCAGCAGCCCAACAACCCAACAGCCCAACAGCTCACCCAGTATAAACAAACCGTCCCCTGGAAGCTGTCCAGGTTAAAAACAGCTCTGTGATAAGACCTCCCCTTGGAGGCCGGGCACAACAAAAAGAGGAGAAAAAAAAAGGCCCGAAGAGGAAAAAAGCTGAAGAAAAAAAGGGGACAGTCCCCACTGCCAATTGTCAACACTAGGGGGGCGGGCCCCTACACCAACCGCCGGGAGGACAGTCCCCGTGACCACCTGTCAACTGCCTTCATGGCCTCGGACGGGACGCCGTCCGTCGACACGGCTGACGCTGCAACGCTCCCAGATGCCACCCCGGTGCTCCCGGCCGTCGCCGCGGCATCGCCCGTGCTTTCCGTCAGTTCTTCTCCTCTCGCTCCTGGTGTGCCTGCCACGTGTGATGGGGAGCCGTTGCCCGTCACGCCGGATTGGCTCCTGCGTGCGGCCGAGCAGCCGCCGTTGGCTGCGACAGAAGCTGATGCTTGCCCCGTATGCATGTGCGCCGTGCCCGATCCTGCCGTCACACCCTCCACCTTCGTTGTGTCGCGCACATGCGTGCGAACTGTTGTGTGTCCTGTCCGTTTTGCCGTTCTGGTTGGTCCACAGTCAGTTGCCGAAGAACGGTGTCTGGCCATGTGCGCCCGCCTTAGCGTTGCCCTTCCTGAGGTGGCCCCGTCCTACGACACCCGTTCTGCTCCCTCTCCTGGGTCTGTTGCCCCACCTCCCCCCCCGTCCGTGGTGCGTCCTGCGTCCTGCGTCCTGCGTCCTGCGTCCGGCGTCCGGCGTCCGGCGTCCGGCGTCCGGCGTCCGGCGTCCGGCGTTTGGCGTCTGGCGTCTGGCGTCTGGCGTCTGCGTCTGCGTCTGCGTGCGCGCGTGCTTCCTGAGAGGTTGTTTGTGACTCGGGTTGGTGAAATCTCTTCAATTCATCGGTTCACTTGAGTGTTCCTTGGATACTCCGCTGAGGATCGCCACGAAGACTTGTTGCGGAGTGTTTTGTGGTAATCACAGAATGAGGGTGAACTTCTGCTCTCAGAGGAGTTTTCCAATGGTGTCTCAGTGGCGAGCATTGTCTCCCGAAGAGCAAGGAACCACGAGAAAGGGGCAGGCAGGCGAATTCTTTCCCAATGGACAGCCCTTCTAAAATAAAATCTTGCAAATGGGTCTATCCCCGGCAATGGGTGATTTTGTTTTCCAGGTTGGGGCCCATAGCCCTATAGCCCACCTTTGCCAGGCTTTTGCATGGCTCAACCGCCAACCTCGGCCCATTCCCCCCGGTTCTCTAGCCCTCTCCCGACAAGATAAGTTGAGCTTCTGGTGACTTGCAGTCAGGCACTTGATATATGGCGGAGACCTTCTTGCGCGGTGGTGATGAGGATTCGTTAACCCAGCGCGTTTTTGTGCGCCAGCGGGAACACTCATGCAGTGCTTTTGGTCTGTTTGTTTGCCGGACTTTGTATGAGAGAACAGTCAACCGATGTCATTGGATACCCTCTTTTGTGGAGGCAGAGTTGCCCAGGACCTGATTGTTGTAGCATAAAGCTCCGCGTATGTTCGACCTGCCGCTGGTTGAGCCGACAGAGACGCTGCCTTAGGAGCAAGACGCCACATAGTAGCAAGAAGGGCGCAGAGCAGGCCGGGCAGCCGGAGAGGGAGGGAGCATGAGAAGGGAACTCGTACCAGGGATTCATTGTTTGTTGTGCGCGTGCGCCCCGCCTGTCTGTTGCACCCGGATCATGTTTGAGCATCTTTTGAACTTCTCTGCGGGGCGGCTGGTGCTTGGGACAGTCCAAACTTGGTCATGTTCATGGCCTCAATGGCTGGGGCGGTCCTCAACCCCCCTGGTTGCCGGTATGGTCCGCCCACTCGCCTCCGATACCCAGGACGCAGCCGGCGTGGCCCTTGAGGCCATCGAGGGCGAGTCCACGGAGTCCACAGACTTCAAGGAGTGGAAAATCCAGCGGCTTCCAATTCAGCTTTGCCTGGACGTCGTGTCAAGCACTGGCTGGAGTGTTGGTTTGCGTGTTTATTTTTCTTAATATGTGTTTGATGATATTGCTCTTTGTTTTTGTTTTGCTTGGTTGTGCTTGTGTGTGGTTGATTCGTTGCTGGGTGGGTTGGTTGGATTCTTTGGTTGGTTTGTGTGAATGCTTGTTTATGCATGTACTGGTTTGCGTGTTCCTTCATTCGTTCGTTCGCTCGTCTGCTCGCTTGCGTGCGTGTGCTTGCTGGCTTGCTTGCTTTGCTAGTTTTGCTTGCTTGCTGGCTTTCTGGCTGGCTGGCTGGCTGGCTGGCTGGCTGGCTGGCTGGCTGGCTGGCTGGCTTGTTTGTTTGTTTGTTTGTTTGTTTGTTTGTTTGTTTGTTTGTTTGTTTGTTGTTTCTGTGTGTTGTTCTGTTTTGCTTGGTTGCTTGTTTGTGTAATCTTTGTTTATTGGCTTGGTTTCGTTTGGTTTGTTTGTTTGATTGTCTTCCGTTTGTGTTGGAATGTTTGATTATTTGGTATGTGTGTTGATCGGTTTTTTGGTTTGTCGTGTTTGTGTTGGTTGCTTGGTTGATGGGGTGGTTGTGTGGTGTCGAACGCGCTTCAGGTTCAAGGTCACATCATCGCAACCAAGAAGCAGGAATCATGTGTTGAGCACTCAAGGTATATGCCTCACCGCGGCTTGAATGGAAGGTGTGCAATCCGTACGTAAACATCCCAGCCATAGTTATTCAGGCCAAACACCCTTTTTCTGGAGCGTTGATGCAGCTTTTCCATTTGCCTCCATTGTAGGCAACGTGATGTGCACTTGCCCTGCCGCATATGTCAACACGACACCATGCCAAGTACTTGGCTCAGGCTTTTCCAGCGCGCGACACCTCTTGTTGTTACTCCGACAACCACCAACTGGTGGAGGGCTCTCGGAATTCCAGGAATCAATGGCATCCACTCGTCGATTTTTGTTTCTCGGGTTTCCACGTTCGAATCCGACGCTCCCGTCCTATTTCGGCGCAACTCGCCGCCTCGCGAGGGCCAGCTGCTGAGATTCTTCCAGGGGCAGGCCAAGGAGGTGCACTTCGATGTGCAGCGCGTGGACAAGGAACCCGGGGGATGGGGGGGGAGAGGGGGACAGGGGGGGTGGGGAGGTGCAGGAATGTGCAGGGAGGAGGTTGGACCAAGTGTGGAGCTGAGGCCAGATTTGAATAATGTTGAACATCTGCTTATGCGGCAACAAGTGGCAACTGATTCGGTAGGTCCTTTGATTGGGGATCCTCTGTTTTCGGTGTTGGACTTATTGCAACATGTTCGGAAGAATTGTGGAATCAGCCAATCTTGGATGTTGCAGTTGCGCAAAGTATCATAGATTCACTGTATTGTCAGTTTAAGGTTGTTGTAGGTCACTTTCTCAATGCTTATTGTAGGCTGGCCATGCTGAAGCCCAAAATCAGGCTTGAACACAACAACCAGAACCTCAGGATAAGGCAACAACAAATGTCGTGTTGCGCTTCAGCAGTTCCTTCTCGCTGGTCTCGCTGCTCATGGTTGATCACTGCTTCGTCCACATAGAGTCCACCGTGTTCAGGCACTCACACAGCAATCAGCATCGCAATGTACAAAAGGGTTCCGCTGCCTGGTGCCGTTCAAATCGAGACCTGGCATCTTAGACTGAGTGTCGCAACTTGATTTCCAGAGGTAAGAGGCGATTCCTTATACGTTATCATCTCGAAATTCTTTCAAAGGATATTCATGAACAGCCTCCCTGTATATTCCCTCCTTTTTCTTTGCAAAGCCCTATGCAGTTGCTGCAACAGGTTGACCTAGATGGAAGCAGCATGTGACATCTCGCCCAAAACTGGACAGGCCCATGGCAACTCTTGGGACGTCTCTAACATGCAGATTCTCTTGAAGTAGAGTGCTAGTTCTTGCCACACGAAATGCGTGGATGTTCAAGCGATTGGGTTTAGACTGCAAATATGGTGACACACGCGCCTGGTAAGGACTCGGAAGAGAAGATGTTCCAAGCTACAGTGCGCGTACCTTGTCTCGCAAGCTGTGCTGCGCTTTCGCCAGGCAGACAGATTTTTGTTGGACACAGTAAATGACTTTGCCCAGAAATCTGATAGACGATGATAGACGGGGGTCAGAATCATCCAGCAGAATTGAATGAACGTATCAGGTTTATGGGTTTCGCGCTATTTGCGCGGAAAAATAGGGGACTCGCAAACGAGATACCCCTGCACGATAACCCGCAATACACCAAGACCCGTGAACATGGCATAAACAACCATATTTACGTTGTTTTACGGGTTGTGGTTGTGGCTCATGTTGATACGACAAGTCGCTCAAGTTGAACCCGGTTGACCTCGCACCCGCGTGCCAGATGGCCGCCTCCTGCCAACACAAGTTCGCAATGGGAGAGGATGCAGATTCACAGAATTGTTGGGCGGTGCCTATTTTGCGCACTGAAATTTCAGAAACCCACTTCCGATGGTCTCCCAATTAGCTCGCAATATCGGGATGTGTGTCAAAGCCCAAAGCCCGGAACGAATTCAAATGGTTGGTGCCGTGCTGGTTACGTGTTGCAGAAACACAAAGATGGATCCAGTGTTCAAACATACATGAGAGAAGAGCAGTGGATGTGTTGATGTTATTCCTGGGCTGGAGATGTTCTCTCGTTTCAAGTTGCCTAACGAATTTACCGGACCTGACCGGTTTTGGTCTACTGGCCCAAGTAGCCCTTGACAACCCCCCCCCCCCGACGCAGGGTAGCGGGGAACAACATCAATCTTTGGCACGCACCGCTTCAGGGACGAACCCGCAGTCATCAGCACAACAGCAAGAATGTTCAACGCCTGTTCTGCCAGCAGATCACTAGCACGGATCGCTCAGCTCAAGGGCACTCTCTAACTCCCCTGTGGTTTGGTGGCTTAGGATGCAAGAATTCTCAACCCCAAGGGTTCCCCAGCATCACTGGCAAAGATGGTCAGATGCCCAGATGACAGCTCCGTGCTCAGGTGCCTTCAGAAGGTCAAAGTACCTTTACAGGACGGGGGCACGGTTTGACATTTCAACGATCCAGAAGTCGTTGAAGAAGGGGTGGGAGCCGGGGCAGCTTAGGGCCAGGAATGCTAAGCCATGATTTGCGCGCATCCCACATATTTATTTGGTTTTGGGCTCAGACTGCGGGGATGCATACCACTGTTGCTCAGACGCAGCCCCCACTCGAAAACAAACCGAACACGGTTATGAATCCTTCGTATTCCCAGTTTCAATGCTGCGATCAGAAACGAGCAATACCTCTGGATCTGGCGCGCAGTTTCACTTGAGACAGCACCCTGTCAATCATGAACCATGCAAAACAACTGCTTGAAGTGCGTCATACTATCGTCATACTATTGCGATGGCATGCTATTCATATACAAACATACGTGCCCATACTTCCAGCAACGCACAAGTTGCACACTCGTGATTGTGGCGGGTGTATTGTGTTTGCTTGCTTGAAGTGTTGCTCGCATGGCTAACATTTCCAAGCTAAGACGCACAACTTGTATGTTGTGTCTTGAGTTTTTCACATTCTGCATTTGGCAGTGAAATATCACACGTCGTTTATCCAGCCCAGACAAGTTGACAGGGTGTGTTCCCACTCTCACACTGAACCCGTTGTTGGAGCAGAATCGAGCGGAATGCTGGTTGTGTTTGCTGAGGGTCGTTTACTTGTTTTGTTTCCAAGACCGCATCGTTTGTGATTCAAGCAAGGTGTGCGCTCGGCTCTGCTTCCCAGGGTATATGATTGTAGTGGTCCCTCTTTCATTAGCTCCCCCAGTCACAATATTTGTCCGTTTCCGCTCATGTCGTTTCCTAGGTTTAGGTGCGAAACAGCTAACAATTGCCATTTGGTTGAGAAAAAAATGGAAGGGGATTGGGCTTTGCTTAAGTTGTCCAGACCTCCCCCCACTTTTCGGCCCCAGTTTGGCAGAGGCGCAGTGGTGTCCCGCAGCAACTTCGACTGCAGCGCCAAGACGAGGGCGGCTGCGGAGCAAGATGCGGCCAAGAAGGCGCTCGAGGCCTTGCAGTGCCAGGAGAAGGTCGAAGAGCAGGAGATCTGCTTGGGTTTGACTTTTAGGGAGTCCTGAAGTCTCCATTTCTTGTATATCTTCTTCGCAGTGCAGGATGAGATATCTTGATCGCAGGATGGGGGCGGCTTTTAAAGATCACCGAAGTTTGTGGAACATTTTGTGTTTTTGTGTACTGTTGGGGAACATGGGGGAATGTCGTACCCACCAAAGGTCAGGCGTCAAGACTGGCCCCAATTTTCCAATGTCACTTTAAGGTTTGTTGCCTGAAGAAGGACCAAACGGGTTTTGGGCCACTTTGGTGAAAGGGTGTGTTTAGTTTTGTTTGTCGCTTTCTGCAGCACAAGGAAAGCAAAGTTCCTTGGCATCGGCAAACCGAATCGCAAGCGACAAACGTTCCAACTTTCGAAAACCAAACAAGACAACAAGGACACACCTAGAGCCAACAGGACTTGAACCTGCAACCTCCCGAAGCCCGCGCTGCCATTGAGAAGGCAAATAAATCGTCATGAAAATGAAGCTTAGAAGAAACAAAAGAACAAAAGTTTAGGGGTCTGGTTTGGAGTAGCTCTCTCAAAATGTTGACTTTGAGGGACGCATGGCAGAATGGAGACTTACATAAGATATAGTGCCCCTTCTACAAGTGGTAAATTGCCTTCTCCAGACCACCGAAACCCAGGCCCATACCTGAGCATCGACAATGGATCAAGTCAGGGGTATGAAAGCGAAGGGTTGCGTTGACTTGGTTTCGCTGTCAAATGCTGTCAAATGACTTGCTGGTGCTCAGCAGGGAATGAAGGAATGACCCCTAAAACCCATCCCCTATGGTTTCCTTTAAGGGAATCCCCTGGTTTATTCCCTCATTCCCTGCTGATGCAAATGTTGTTGCGTCCTTTGTTGGACATGTTTGGGAAAGCTCTTCAGACTCGAGTCCGCATGGAAGAAAGCGCCTGACTCCTTTCCCTCAGTGCTTTGTGCTGAGTTGTCCTTTTCATATGGGGCAGGCTTTGGTGTAGGACCAAACGGGTTACTTGCAGCTTGTGTAGACTGACGTCAGCTATAACGTGGACGTATCCTTCCAAGCTAAGTCCGTAGTAAGGCAACTGGAGCTAAAGATTTGCACTGCTCGGGCAGGGAAAGCCCAGTTCCCAAGTCAGGAAACGTGCTGCTGTTTTGCACCCAAAGAGTTGCAGGAATGACAGCAGCAACTCCAAATGTGCAGTGCGAGTCTGTCAGTAGCAACTTGAAGGCGTTAAGGACGGCCCCGTTGTGCCCATATAGAATACCTGAATCACTCTACACAAAAAATCATAGGGTCATGCTTGTGTGTAGCTTCACAGAAAAGCATGTTTCCGAGCGAAACAGCGATTTCTGCTATTCCGTGGTTAATACAGATAAAATACGTATGCCTTTATACAAGGTATTCCTTATTGTCCTCACACAGTCTCTGCCCTAGTGCACTTTCTTGGAATACATATTCCAGTTCCGTTTGATTCCCGCGCCCTCATTTGTTGATTGGATAAGTTACATCCAAACTACAGGTCAATACAGCTCAGCGCAGCCCAGCATTTTCAGAGCTCAGCTTAGGCCCCTCAGAGTGAATAGTTTGAGGGGTTCTCAACATTATCAACATTGTATACGTTTGGTTTTCGATGGGGTCCCTTAAAAAGCGCCCATTTCGAGTTGCTTCGGGATTCTTTGCGTGTCACCGTGGTTTGGATGGCGAAGTCGGCTTCGCCGCTGACGGCCAGGAGGTTCAGATCCTCTGGCTGCCGGCGGACTGCAGAGAGCTGGTGGTGCTCAAGAGTGCGCGGCTGAAGCGGAACGACCTCCACGCGGTGGCGGAAGATCTGCTGGGCGCCGAGCGCCTCGGAGCACATCTGTGCCTGGACCCGGGACCTGCGTCAGGGCACGGCACGCACTTTCGCCCACGGATGTCACTCATTCCGTACTTGTGGTGCTTGCGCTTGAAGAGGGGGGCCCAGCCGCAGAGAGTATCAGTGCCAAGGGCTTGGCAGGTTGCCGGTTTTTCGCTAGGCCCGGTTTGGGTTGCCATTTGAATGTTGCGCTTTCTCCTGCCGAAATTGAACCCTGTGGTTCCGCCCGTCAGCTGGAGTACGCAGAATGGAGTGGTGGCTGCGTACAGCCCATCATTCGCACCCAACATTCGTTGGGCGTGAATCAGGAATGTGCTGAGCGCTCGGGCAGCTCTCTGCGGATAGCTTCATGACGGCCAACAGGATAACCGTATGTTGAGAATTGGAGGGGCTCTCTAAGTTTGTCAGGCTCGCAGTCGGGTTGCGAAACCTTCGGAAGAGTCACCCCCCTAGACCTTCTCCCAAGGAAGCCCTAACAAGCCCTGGTGCCCTGCAAGCAAAGCTTTGTGCAGTCAAGAGAATGCGACCTGCCCCGGATCGGCCTACACGCAAACGGACTTGGGCCTGAAGCGAATATGTTGGAAGGCACCCCTTTAGATTGTTGGTGTCCTTTAGCTGCACAACCTTGTGAGTTGTTCTATATCCAACAACTCAGACTGCAAGACCCGGTCAAACCTAGGTGTGATTCGATCAAAATCATTGTTATGATTTGTGAAATGGAAGGTCAGGGTGTAAATACTCCAAGGATGCTGTTGACCCATCCATACGAATCACATATGTTGTATGTTGGCTCAATTGCTTCGGTTGGTTCCCTTTTTGTGACCACCATTCAAAAAGGAACCCTTTTGGTCCCTGGTGTTTGGTTTCCGTTGTCGCTCGCTTAAACACGGAAGAATGCACATCGCTCAACTTACCGAGGACGGTGTGCCACCCCTTGGCATGGCTGGGCGATCGCCCAAAGGCCGGGTTGCAAGATCGGTTTAATGAAAAGACCCTGAGGCTTGAGGGGAGCAGACAAGAGGCTGTTGAAAATAGTTTATACTTGGTTCAACAGGATGCCGTTTAGACGATAGTCGCCTGGAATAGTGGTGAGCCCCCGTTTGTCCCCTACTGATACAGGGGCGAAGTTTGGGGACACTGCTAGTTTACATCCCAAATTTGAGATGGATGGGTTTGTAAACCTGCTTATGCAGTTGGTGGCACCAACCCTGCCTCAAGGGCATTTGTCTCTACGAAGCTGTCGTAGAGACGGCCGAAGCGCGGGCCAACGCGCGAGCCAGTGCACTGGCCGAGGTGGACGCTGGGTTTCAAGTGCCGTGGGGCCGTGGGGGGTGTAGTTTCTTGGTCCCAGCCATCCCCTTAGCTTTTTAGCCTTTTAGTGTTTCGTGGGGGTTTCCAATCAACTCGCTAAAAGTTGAACTTTTAGCGGGGATCTGAGGGCAGGGCACCTTAGCGCTTCGGTGCTGGTGCCATTTGGCTCGCCCATTGCAAATTGGTTGATGTTCTTGGCGCGGACCCGCGCCGTAGCCGTTCCCGTTGGCTGTCACTGATACTTGGTGGTTGGCGGGTCGCTGGGTTGCTTGCTGCGAATCGCCCTGCGGTTTAGATGTGCCATCCTGAGCGTCTCACACTGGCGGTTTTTGGCAGGAAAGGCTAAGGGGTTCGGCTGGGTCACCACGTGCATGCACCAGTCAAGCTTCGGATTGCATATGGCTGCATGGTCTAGTTTTGTAGCTCGATGTTCCGTTGAAGAGATCCGGGGGGGAAGGAGTTGCCAGACACGGCACGGTTGCGGGCGAGTGTAGATTTGTGGCCTCCGGCCAGCATGGATGCTGGAGCACAACATGCCGGTTGCGATCGGTGTTTCTTCCACTATGGTGCTTCAAGGATGGCGGGTGCAGTTGAGCAGCGTCGTTTTATCGGATGAAAGGTTACATATATGCTACAATTGGGAATCGCAATATGTTCGCGTGGGCAAATGAATTGGCCGCATAGCTTCGCGTATGCAATTCGGTGAATCAATGTGGTTTGCCCTGCGCGGCGCTCGCGTAGGCAGGCCAGGGATGATACGTCATAGACTTTTGCTTTCACAGTTTGCAATGCATGGGACACGCAATTGTCAAAGCTAAACTGCCTTGATCTGCGTGGCCGCACGCAGGCCCATTGCATGAGTTGGTCTTTTCCGCTGCATTCAATCTGCAGCTGCCAAATGGTGCACTTCGAATACTAGAGCTAGCTGGAGCTGTCAAATGGTGCAGTTCGATTACTACACTTGTGCAGAGGGGCAATGAATGACACGGCATTGCAAAACTCGAGGGGAGAACAACGGCGTGCAATCGACTTGCGTAGGCATCCGTGTGTGCAACACAAATGCAGAATCACGCGCGTAGAATCCCCATGCAGCTACACAACTGAGCCGACACCCAAAAGCCTCATTGGCCAAGTTGCTAGGGCGCTGGTTTCATGGGGATAAGGTGTGAACCGTTTTATCCAGGATACCTTTTCTAATGGACAACATATAAATATTTAGAGATAGAGAGCCTTTACAAGCGCGGCAAAAACCCAAGCGTCAGACGCTCGACTTGGGAAAGCCGAGGAGATCTTCGGGGACTCCTTCCTGATGGACGCCAGCGCGCACTCCCGCGGCGCCGTGGTGGTGGACATCAGCCTGCTGCGCTACGAGCGCCACGGATCGAAGCCTTGGGCTTTGACCATGTTCGCCTTCGACCATCAGACATCAACTTTCGCGAGCTTTGCCTTTTTTGGGTTTGACCATTTTCGCCTTCTACCATGAGAGAGAGAGAGAGAAATGTTCGCAGGGGTCTAGGTTTGGCCCAGTTGTGTTTGTTTTCTTTGGGAGCCCCGCTTTGCTTGTTGTTTCCGGTGGTTTGCTAAAAGGAAACCACTCACCTGGAGGTGCCATATTCCTCTCGCCGAATCAATTTCAGATGCCACCACACTTTTTGGGATGAATGATGTTTAAAGGAGAAGTACAAGGGACGGGGTACCTTAAGATTGTGGTGCAGCCCGGGGTTTCCGCAGTGGTGACCATTTTCACTCCGAGGGGTCGCAGAAGCAGTACGGTTTTTTGATTTGTGTGGCAACAGTTGGTTTCTCGCTTTCTAGCAGAACTCAACATTCGGCGACCACGACAATCATGCGACCACGACAAACATATCCAGGCTTGGGAGGTAAACAAATATGCCCAACCACCTGAGGGTGTTCAAACCATGGCCATAGGCTCGCCTCTCCATCCTCACGCCAGCCTTGCCGAAGCTGAGGCATCTCAAGGCCGAGAAGTGCCCCGCTTCCCGGGCGAGCCCGGTGCGCATGCTGAGCCAAAGTCGCGGCATGCTGCTCGGCCGCTCGGCCAGGCCATTGGCCCCGAAGACTCGCGTTGAGTGGATCTCGGTTCCCCACCGATCGATGGGAGGTCATCAGGCATGATCAGCCCAAGAGAAAGGTTTCTTTCCATTTTCTCTACGAGGGTCAGGCGCGAGCGGCGCGAGGCCCTTGGGTGGTTTTTTTCGATTCAAGCGGTTGTACCCTTTTGGGCTGGCGGTCGCCCTTGATAGCAAACAAGTGTTTTTGTGGAGGACTCGGTCGAATTGGGACCCACGAGTTGCTGGGTCGAGGCTGAGTTCCAAGTTTGAGCACCCGGCCTGGCTGAAATTTGGAAGTGGCATTGTAACAATATGTTTGTGTAAAAATGGGCCAAGTCCAAACGATTGGGCCAGCCCTTACAGTTTCCTCTTCACAAGCAATACGAGGAAGTGCAACTCTGTCACATGATGTAACACAGGCAAGTGACGACACGAGTATTGAGAGAACAGAACGCAAGGCGGCATGGCTGTTCAAGATGGGTTTGTTTGATCAAAGTTCTGTGAGGCACCTGAGAGGAGGAACCTTTGAATCAACTCAAGGTCCATTTGGACCCTCTTATCAGATTCATCAGCGCGCTAGGCGCAATCCTAAAAGCAAGGACGGACAACTATGATAGAATATGATGCTTCATCCAGATACGGCTAGCAGGAGCCAGCATGTGTAGTCCTGTTGTTGTAATGTAAGGTCTTGCTTTGCTCGCGACGCCAAGAGGGCTGCGTTTAGTGGACAAGTGTCGCAGCTGAGCTCCATAAATGGCGGGGCAATGGACCAAGACGGGTGTCCATAGATGCCTACGTAACAGCAGGATGCCACTCATGAGCCACAGGCCCCAACGGTATGTTTCGACGTCGCCAAGGTCACCCCAAGCTGCCAGAGAAGTTTCAGGCAGAGACGTGGCTGGGGCAGAACCCCAAGAGTTTGTTGCTGGAGGCTCGCTTGGGGGGAGTGGGGTTGGACATGCACTGTTGTTTCTGGGGAAGTGTTGAAACTGGCCGGTTTTTGGGCACAACAGAAATGAACAATGTTGGCCACGATGTGAGCCATGACAAGAATGGGGATTGTTTGTTTCGGAGCAATGACTAATGGCAGTTTATATGAGATTATATGAGTTGCTGTTTGCTTCGAAAGCTCAATGTGAGCAGCAAACCATGTCGTTGTCCGCGATGCTGTTTTGTTGCTTGATGTTGGCATGGAGATGTGCATAAGTCTGTTTGCATGCAGCTGGTGAGGACAGAACCACTAGCATGCTCTTCCCTGCTTTGGTCAGATATCCATGAAGGGGAGGTAAGGGTGGCTTGCACAAGACAGGAGTGTGTTGCTTCTGTTTTGTTTCACCCTGGACCTGGCTTAAAATGGTTTGCAGAGATGGTTGTCAAGCCAACAGCACAGATCTTCGGTGGTGCTTGGAGAATTGCCGCACGGGTGGGCACTCTGCAGGTGGCAAGGAAGCGCGGCTACAACCAGCCGCACTTTGAAGTCTACCCCGAAACGGAGGACGGAAGAAGCACCGGGGTGGTGTCTTTTGTTGAAACATGAGGCGGCTTTCTTGATTTGAGATAACATGCAAAGAATCTGCGATGAATTCAGGCACTTGTGGTTCCGAAGCTTGCTTCTACATAATTTCGACACTCGGCGGAGCTGGCCATGACAAGAACTGCTTTGTTTCTGCTCGTGTCATCCATCCAGTCTTCACAGAAGTTATGTTTGTTTTCCAATCTTTTCCGCCTCCGGCATCCAGTAGTAGCGCTTGGGCGTTTTGTACATTTGCTGGTCCAGGGAATAGACCATCTCAAGTCCTCCAGAGATGCAGGGGCACCCAATCCAATTCAGTGGGCCAGGTCAGCTGCACCCTGAAGCTGGATGAGTGGATAGGAGTTCAAACATACTGATAAAACTTTGTGTCAAACTGAGGAGCTGAGGTCCAAAAGATGCTTGATGCGTTTAGTTTTGCTTTTACGTACTGTAACCAGAATGGCATTGAAGAAAGAGGACATACCTGCGTCATGCGTCGAGTAAGATTGGTTGCGCTTGAATCCTTTTCAACCCGAGCGGTCCCAGAAAGTTTGCCCGCGACTGTCCATGGGGGAAGCCCTCCAGATCCAGTTTAAATTCCCGCAAAAGGGTCCTGTCCCTTTTTTACATGTGGAAACCCATATTACCTTTGAAGCGGAAGACCAAGGGAACATGGCAACTCAAAACCTCAGCCCCACCCACCCCCCGTCCCCTTCAGAGCTCCAGGAGAACAAGAGCTGGCGCGCGACGGTCCAGATCTGCTCCGAGGAAGAGTCCAAGTTCGCAGAAGGCCGGACGACTCGCGCGACGAGTTTGGTTGGCAGAAGGAACACGGCGGAAGAAATAACGGGAATTTAGAGGAACCTCGTTTTTGGCACAGACTTTGGGGCTTGGTTAGTCTGGAAAAAACGCATCCGAGTTGAGAGGACTTGGGGTGGCAGGGTGTCTTTTTGCGCCAGAAACATGTTTCTAAACGGAGTGAGTGGTTTCAGCCTAATTATTGCAGAGGTGCATGGGTTCGACATCAAGCCGTCTGAATCTGAGAGCCACAGCATCTTCACATGGGTTCTTTGAGAGCAACCAAAATCGGATTTGTGGAGGGTGCCACCCCAAACCATCATTTTGTTATTTATTTATTTTTAACATGGAACCCCAACATGTTGTGGGGTGTGTGTGATTTGTGGGGAATGTACTCTACCCGCAAACTCTGTTCCCATCTATCGGTTTAGGTTTCTTCACCTCTTAGCTTCCAGGCTTAGAAGGGAAACCAAAGGTTGCCCCATTTTCGGCCAGTCTCAAACGACCTGAATGCCAAAGCGGAAAACCCTCAAACCTTCAAACCTGGTTGCTCCAAAGGGTCCTTGCCCTGTGCCCTGGAACCGGATGCATCGCGTCCACATCGCCTCAAAAAGAAAAAGGCAGACAACAAACACACGTCCACCAACTTACAATGAAAAAATGGAATGGGCATACCCAAATCCGATCCGTTTTGGTTTCACCGTTGCACCGGAGGCCTGGCCTTCGCCAACAAGATGGACACGCAGCACGACGCGGCGCTGGCGATGCTTCGCCAGTTGCAGGCGGAGGACGAGGCAACCAGCTGCAAGTGGAACGAACCGGGGCTGACTTGGGGTGTTTAAGGGTTCTCTGGGGCACCTACTATACAGGGAATAGAATCACGTCAGCCGCTCCCACGGATTCCGGACTGGTTTTTTTTGGAAGATTCTCCTCAGCTGTCTAGACTTTACTTTGTTCGCGGCAAACAAAGACAGATTTGGTTGCTTTGTCTGACCAATCCATCTAAGAAAGGAAGGCCCTGGTGCCAGAGTAGCCATCACTGCAAGATAAGGCAAAGAGCTCAATCATGGTTGTTACAGTATAGTGCCAGGATGGAGCTATTGTCGATGTCAATCTGGGTCGACATTTTTCCCAGTAAAACATGCACTTGTTTCAGTTGCACAATTGCCTGCAGGGCCATAGGTGAACGACAACAGGATGCGTTGATTTGACGGAAGCAGAACGACCGAATGTGACCCCAACAAGTATCAGCCCCTTTAGAGTTTCGCCTCGAGCGTCATAAGGTGCTTCACTGGAGGAAGCATCCCATTGGAAGAAGCCTGGCTTGCTGTCGAATCCGAAGGATCCACCTTTCGAGGGCTGGGATTCGGTGAAAGCCAACCCTGACAAGCCACAGGCTGACAAGAGGGTGATTATTAGACAGGCCGCTCTTTGCCTGCAAGTTCTCAAGAAGAACAGATAGATCCTTAGCACTACATATTGGGTGTCCTACTATCTGGTTTAACACGAAGAACAGCAAGGCCAAGACATAACCCATTCAACATGCAGGTACACCCAAACGTCAATGGGTTCAATTGCTGCTCAACTGCACCTGTCTCCTTTACGAAGGCACACACACAAAATTGAAGATGCCCTGGGAATCAAGGTTGTTATTGACACTCGCATCACGTTGCCTCGATTGTAGTTCGGCCCTTTTAGGAACTTTGAGACCTTTGGGACAGTGAGCCCTAAGCGAGCAAGTCTCTTCAGACAGTAGGGGCTAGCCCCTCGCTCTCTCGCCAACTCAGGCGGCGGGGGTGCGACACCATCCACTTCGGGAAGGATTTCTCGCCTGCCTGCGGCGCTTGGACAAAGGCCGGACGTGTGTGGATTTTAACATGAAGGGCTGGAGGGAACCATGCAGAGGTGCTCCATTCTTGTGGGCAAGCACAAGCAAGTGCGCACATGTTGTGACGTTTTGGCATGTCAAACGTGCTTCACACTATGACAACCAAAATTACGCGCGCACACACACACGAAGGACCTTGGCGTTGGTTGTGCTGTTTGGCTTTATTGCCGGCCGCTTGGGAAGGTGCCAATCTTGGATGGTGTTTGTCACACCAATCTGGGCAAACAATCACGGGCTCCTATAGCTTTCAATTTCCCAATTGGCCATCAGTTGTCCAGGCGGCGCCGGTGCTGTGCAGGGCAGCAAAGTTCTTTGCCGCTACCAAATCACATTGGCGCCTTGGCGAAAGGTCCAGACGAATGCCTTCGTCAAACGCTTCCCGTTTGGGGTGAGGGGGGGAATCAGCCCATGCCGCTTGCCATTGAACACTGGATCTGGGAAGTCAATGCTGCAACACCAAGCCAGGACCGGCGCAAGGAAGCCGGCTGCGAAGCGTTCCAGAAGGCATACGGCCAATGGTTGTAGCGCGCCAAAGCAGCTTGCAGCTCGCGCTTCACTCAAGGCTCTTTGACTAGGCCAGACATGGTCAGGTTAGTGGCAGGAAGGACCTCATCCGGGATGAATTAGAGTGTGACCAGGCTGGTGACAGGACCATGGGACAACCTCAGAGTGTTGAAAGATCCAGTTGAGACTGGTGAAGTGTAAAAGCGGCCCAGTTGCTTGTTGTACCTTGACTTGAATTAGATGAGTTGTGTTGGCATCACGGTAGCAGGTGGCCAACAACAAGGGTCGTTCGTGGTTTGCGTAGGTGACCTGCTGTGATAAGTGTGACAAGGTCCTGCTGTGATAAGTGTGACAAGGTTTCCGAACAGTTTTCCCATGAAGTCTTTGAGATCGGAGTTTGTCTCCTGCGTCCCGCTGACGAATTTCCCGTTTGGCTTGCACTACGTATGCACGAATGGCTGAAAATAGACCAGGCTCACCACAATTCACCAAGGAAGGCCCCAAACCCCGGGGGCCAAAGACTGAGTTTGATGCATGTCTTCCATTGGACGAGTGGTACAGACCATGTACGATTCCCTGTCGAAGAGACATGGTGCTTCAGGCCGGCAAAGCCTCTGACTCCGTGCTGCTGTGGCTTGGCGGAAAGTGATTCGGAGTGCAAATCATTCACTGGGTGTCACAGGGATTCATCAACCAAGGTTCCTTCAAACGCCTGGTATACGAGGGGCCTCGAAAAGTCCAAAAGCTGAATTCAGCCACACATAGTCTTAGCATGGTCTCAGCTTGTAAAGCCAGCGGGTCTACCTGTCTGTGAAGCCCTCAAGACCTCTGGTCCTTGGTGCAAGTGGCTGATTGAACGTTTGGACGCACTCTGCTTGTGGCAGTGATGGGATCCATCGCCGTGCTACTACAGAGTTTGGCCATGGCGTGTTTGATTCAAAGAGATGGTGCCAGATTACTTGAGAAAGGGATGCTAAGCAACCCCTTTTGTGTGAACTGGAGCGATCAAGGCGGCCTCGTTTGGGTTTCTCAAATTTCAGGAATTTGTCCTAACGGGGGCAGAGACCAGCACGATCCAGCACGAGTTCATTTAGGCAAGTGTGGAAACCAGCAGGGGGGTGGGCAAAATGCTGGCCCCCCGTGTGCATCTACCCCACACAAAACGACACCAGGGTCGGAAAGAGAGGCCTTGAAATCGGAACGCTGTAGCTGTACTTCTCCTGGTCTTTTCCAAGTATCTGTCTTTTGAGGAAGTGGGAACCACGGATTTTGACTGGCGTCCCAAAGGACCTTGGTGCAATGCATAGGGGGGTCACCCTTACGTACTGTGCCCAGGCTGTGCCTTGCCGCTTGGCAAATCAACTCTAGCAATGAAACCTAATATCCCTTTCCAGTCGCAAGTTATCAGAATGCTTGGATTGTCCGTGGTTCAATGTCGCCAATCGTTTCTGGGATCTCTGTTGAAACGATCTTGCATGTTCAAGGTTCACTGAATTTGGCCCCAAGTCATTTTGTGGTTGTAGGGTTGTAGAGTTGTGGGGTGGTGGGGTGGTGGGGTTGTGGGGTTCTGGGGGTGGGGGAGGGAAACCTGATGTAGGATCAGGCGCGTGCCATTCCTGGCCAGGGTGGAGCGTCACGAGAAGCTGAGCTGCGTCCTGGGGAGCCGCGTTCTCCACCCCGCGCTGGAGGTGACCGGGTTGGTTTGTCTGGTGAGCCCCGTGGTACTCAAACAGGGACCAAGGGAAAGCCGATTTGGGGGACCAACCCCTATTTTGAGAATTGCGGATGGACCCGAACAAGCCGATTTGGGGTATTTTGAGAATTCCGGATGGATCCAAGGCAAAACGAAAGGGTCTACCATTTGAGGTTGGCAGGGTAGAAACCGCAGAAGGATTGCACCATGACACCCAAAAAACACAAGGACGGTAAATGCTGCCCATCCCAAAAAATAAATTGCACTTAGTCTTCCAATAGACCTCACTTGGAGGTGCCACTCATTTTGCGACACGCTAGCAAGAAGCAAGGCTCATGGATGGCACTAGTTATACTGATTCAGAATCATGGCAAGGGGAGCCTTTGGCTCCTAGACTATTGGTTCATACTGGGAGCCATCAAGGGCCATTATGGGCCACAATCCTCCCTGGGCTCCACTTGCTATGGCTTCGAACGAGTATGGGAGTTTGGTGGGTATTCTTCGCACTTGCCTCGGAGGGTCAAACAAGAAGTGCCTTATATTAAAAGGACTTGACATCCTATGGATCATGCAAAGTCCTTGAAATGGCCGGGGAGGGCTGGATGCTGGTGCGAGGATTTGGCCATCCTTGGTTTTTGTTGGGTTTGAGGCTACAAACTCTGCAAAGGTGTTTCCCTCCCTTCAACCTCAGTATTGTTGAGTTTCAGAACGGACCATGCAACGTGTGCGGAGTCGCAGATGTGAACGTTTCGCCCTGTGAACCGCTTGGGATATGTACTGGCATCGTGCGAACATTAACATACCATGTGCTGAGACACCTGCTTTTCGGCGGGGGGGCTCCAAAATGTAAGATCTGGTTCCCCAGACTCAAAATTCTGGAAGGCTGTCAGGGAAAGTGAAAGGACCCAGGCGGGAGCAGAGTGCACCTTCGAGAATGCGCGTTACATGTTCAGACGTGCCCGCCCCCTACAAAAAGGAGGGGAACGAAACAACATGGGCATTAATTGAATATTTACAGACGCAGCCCAGCTGGCGCAGTTGTTTGACGGTCCTGAGCGATTGCCCTGAATTTGGCTTGGACAGAGTTGTTGTTTGTTGTGTTTCCCACAAGGCAGTTAGTGCAACTTGTTGTGTTTGAAGTGAACGCAGGCCACACTTGCAGCAACAACAGCATGTAAGCCTTCTCAAATGGACAGAGCTATGACTGGGTCCAGAGCGGCATCCTCAAAAAATCCTCTAAATGTTGGTTTCAAGGGAAATCCTGCCCAAAAGTAACTTTCAGCCCCTCGAAATGCTTAGTTTTAGGGACTGAGTGAGAAAGAAGTTTGAAAGTTGTTCAAATGTTGCTGCCAGCGCGCATGTGCACTCGTGCACCTTACCTGCAACTCTTGTCAGGACTTACTTGGTGGGTTAGCTGTGGGCGAGGAGCCGGGGTTGACAGAGAGTTCAAGAAAATTGAACGTCATTGGGTGGGTCTCCGATGTCTCTGAGCGGCGAATGGCGGGCTCCAGCAGGGAAACCGCAATAAGATAAGTCACTCTTGGTGATCCACTTGTGACAGCCCCTGGATTTTGAGTTGAAATTTGAGTTGAAACTACTGCCTTGTCATTCCAGGATCAACAATGGCCAGCCATGGATGAAGCACATATGTGTATGCGTAGATGTTGAGGCATCAATGGCAAAGAAAATGTTATGCATGTGTTGGTGTATTTGAACAAACGGGGGCCTAAAGGGCCCCATGCAGCAAGAGGCAGATGTTCCTTTGGGGTCCAATCCCAATCGCACAATACCAAATCGTCCTGAGACAAGAAAGGCTCTAGCCGGACAAAGACGTCTTGGGAACAACTTGCGGTAGTTTCGTAGACACAAGCAACATGGCGAAATTTGGTCCGTGTTTGACTTCCTGTAAGCCTAATGTAGTCAAGAGGCACCATGGACCATGGGGTGGCATTTGGCGATCTTATGATGTTGTTGCAGGATCCCTTGGGACGGGCGGAAGCAACACTTACATACCAGCTCTGCGCCCTATGTTACGTCGTTTGATGAAACGGGTATGTCCGATCATGTTTTTTTTGATTGGCACGCCCCGACTAGTCTTGGTTGGCACGCTTGTTTCAGCAACGCACCAAATGGAACAAAGCCCTCAAGCTACAAGTAACACTGATGTACTAAGTTCAAAGCTATTCTGGGATTACGCTGGAGAGTCATAAGCTGTACAAGTTGGTCCTTTGCCTTTTGTGTCCAGTTTCTGGGCGATGGCAAAGCATTCACATTGTGCAGGAGGCGACTGCGGAGACGGACTGCAGGTACGAGGGCATTGACTGCACCATGACCCTTTCGGTCCAGCTGCAGGAGTTGTGCCTTGGCCTATGAGCCGCCCACTAGGGGCCGAATTGTGCGATTGATTCGGGGGGCCCTTTGGAGTGTCTCACGGATAAGTTCACAAAGGAAACAGGGCACTAAAGACAATGTTGGCAGCAACGGAATGTGTATATTGGCTGTGCTCGCTTCTGGACTATGTGTGAAAGCCAACTCAAACCTCAGAAGTTCACAGTCCAGAAATGCCATCCGTCCCCTCGCCATTTTTGCCGGCACTAGACGGCCAATCAAGATTGTAACAAAGTCCAGGCATCAAGGCATCACAGGGCAAGGCGTGTTTAAAACGTTAACCATGTTGCATGGCAGAAGGGGGCCACCGTTTTTTTTGGGAGGGGGGGTGTCAGGGGGGGCGACCATATCTATATATACATACATACATTTTTGTCTGGCCCTAGGAACTCAAAGCATAGGCAGGTTTTTCCCGGCCCGGGTTTCAGTTCTCTAGGCAGCTGCCTGAGACACCTCTGGATATCCCCAAGAAGGTTGTGAAGTTCGATCCTCCGCTCTCGAAGCAGCGCCAGGGCCCCAGAGTTTGGCACCAAGTTGGGGGTGCCCCTTGAAGCTGAGAAGGGTACCCGAAAAAAACACGCACGCAACAGGGTTCCACCATGCTTGTGGGTATTTGCCCTGTGGGTCAGAGAACAGTCGGAAGAGTAGGACTCTTTGTTGATGAACTGAAGATGTCATGTTTGCCGCAGTGGACATGGCAAAAGCGGTGGTATTTGTGAGCGAGAAAGCAATTCCTGGAAGCTTGGCTGCACGTGCTAAATGAACCTCAATTTAAAGCCAAACATGTCTAGAACCAGCCGCAACATATCCTAGCCACGTGTGCGTGTGTGTGCGTGTGTGTGTGTGTGTGAATTGAGCTGGCAATGCTATCGAGCGAAGCTAGCCACTTTTAGAGATGCACTTGAGACATGTTAGAAAGTATGATAGGATTATGGAAAGTCATGCTGAAAATATGCATGACGCCTACTAGAAACTAGATACGCATGCTGAGACCTCTAGACATGTAACTGGACATACAGTAAATGTGTGCTGGACATGTTCTCATTTGCTCGAGACATGCAACAGCTCGAGGAAACCAGGCAAAACACACTACGGAGACTGCTCATATTTGGATGCCTAACAGCTTGTTCCCTGGGAAGGTTGGCTCCCTGTGTCAAGTTGTTCTACAGCAATTTTCAGCGGGATGTGCGGGAAACCATGGGTTCCCCCCATCCCACTTTAGCGCGCCCAACCCGAGCTTCTCTTAAACGTCACCCAAGAAGAGACCTAGATCCCCAGTAGTGCCCTTCTCTCCCCTTTTTGGGGGAAGGTTCCCCTACTAAGATATGCTACAGAAAAAAAGGTACCCTTATTCTAACCTCTCTGCTGGAGGACCTAGAAACTCTCCGGGTTTTCCTGGAGTCCTCGGCGGGAAATCCGTGGAAAGCCGGTGCTGCCCGAAGGCCAGAACTTCATCGTCCAGGCGCTGAAGGGCCGGAAGTGCAGTTCTGCACTGGACCTGGGCTGCGGGGATGGCCAGCTGCTGGAGGCTTCCAGACGTCGTTGCCGTTTTTTGTTGGCGTGTTTCCATTATTATTAGTATTGTGAATTGATGTAGCTTGTTTTTCAGGAGGTGGCTCTTTGGGGTCGGTTTAGAAGGGATCCAAAAAGAACACCGCAGTTCGGGGGTCTCCCTATTTGCACACAGCCGTGGCCGTTTTTTTGGTTGTTGTGTTTCCATTAGTATTATCAGTATTATCATTGATTTATTTTGCTTGCTTTTCCGGAGGTGGCTTTTTCAAGTTGGTTTAGAAAGGATCCCAAAAAAAAGCACACAGTTTTGGAGTCCCACACATACCCAAGTGGAGTGGGTTTGCGAAAAGGAAGCTGAAAGGGACTGGACTACAGGCGGTGGTTATTTGACAGTTATTGTTACTCCCCAGAAACCGTGGAACCTGAAAGAGGTTTGCTGGATTAAAATAGCTTTCCAGGGGGGGCTTTCAGTTCATGTTTGCTTGTGGAGGGTAACAACATCCCCGTCCCCGAACTACAGTTTGGAAAGGGGGTGCCCGCCATAAGGGCCATTTCCCTTTGTGGGTAGGGACAAATCGGGGTGGGGTGGGCGGAAAAACCCGGCCTTTTGGGTTGCTCCCTTTTGTACGTTGATTGGGTTGCCCATTAAAGTAAAAGCAAACAAGTGCGTTTTTAACGGTGACTGGAGTTCTGCAGGGATGTGACAAAACGTGTTTTGGACGGTATCTCACGGGGAGTGGAGTTTGCTTCACTGCTCCATGAAATGAGTTCTCCCACTGAAACCAGCTGTTGAGGCATTTGTATGAGAAAACTATGGTGATTCATCGACAAACCATTGCAATGCAGGATTGAAGGTGTGAACCCAAACTTGCTAGGGAATGACCCAGGGTTTTGGATGGAACCGGAAGGGGATTCCCTTAAAGGAAGCCAGAAGGGATGGTTTTCCTCGGGCTCATTCCAATCCTCATTCCCTGCTGAGCGGTCCCATCGCAGGCGCTGCTGAGCAACGGCTTGGAGCGTGTCCTGGGCGTAGAGCTCTCAGAGAAGCGGGTGAAGGCGCCGGATTTTTGATAGCTCCAGTGGTGGTGTGTGGTTGCTGAAATCTCGGCGCTTTCTGTTGGCCCCTGTGTGCCTCAACCATTTTCCGGCATCTTCCCAAATTGTTGTCGGCCTTCATACTCAATGTTGTGGGCTGCTGTTGGTTGACTGCTTTGGGCTTAAACATATCATATGTTGTGCTGCTGGCATGTTGTGGTCTTTGTGTGGGCCAGGCAAGAACTCATCCCACATGTGCAGTTGTTATCTAGTTTGACAGCAACATGAAGAGTGGTAATGTGTTGATCATCCCAAAGCATCAGCAACACAATGAGGAAGGCCAATCATACCAAAGCTCAAAGCAACATGTTGCGGCAACAGGGTTGCCTGCAAGAGACAGAGTTGGCGCACGCTTGCTTTGCGCTTCATCGACTTGCGCCCTTGCGGGGCGGGTTTGAGGGGGATGTTTTCTCACTAGTCGCATGCGCAACTTCGGCTGGCATGGCACTACAGTGGTCAAGACCGATACCATGGCCCTCACTCTGCCGGTGTGCAAGTTGCGGAACTGCATATATTTGTCACGCACGCAACACGTATGTATCTTACCAGCATTTGAACAGCAAACTTGCCCTGCGGTGCCGCAGCATGTACTCTAGACAGCATGGGTTGGCAGCGCAAGACCAGCTTGACCCTTCATATGAGGCACAGCACCCTCCCCCCCTCCCCGAAACCACCCAACATGTTGTTATGACTTTGTAATGTCACCTCGCTGCTGTAGAAATCTCTGCAAACCGCTTGCCATTACTTTGGATAGTTCTGCGCACTCGGTCACTGATGAACGAGATGTGTTTGACCCACCATGACACGATCTGCCGTGTTGTGTTTGAACATAGAGAAATATATCACTTGCATGTTCGATTGGCATTTACACACCATGTCAAAGGTATTATGTACATACATACCATATGTGAATATCAAACCATTCAATAGGTCACTGGTGGCACAAGCTGTTTGCTGTCACCGACATCGACTTGTCGGACCTCCCGGCACTTGAGAGGCGTGCCGCAAGCGCCTCAAGGACCGGGCGGAGGTCATCTGCGCAGACTTCGTGCAAGTCGTGGAAGGACCGCGTGCACAGTTTCTGCGCGTGCTTCTGACAAGCTGCCCCTCGCAAGCCAACATTTATGGGCATCCGCGCAAGCACAAATTCCAGAGTCTGTTTTTTTTTCCTGATCCTGGATGGTTTGATTTCTTGTATGGCTTGAGTAGGGGGCCTTCAAACATATGTTGGGTTTTATTGCCGCACCATTCCCGTTTCTTCAGTGGCGGTGGCCGAGTTTCATTGTTTGCATCAATGCCACAGACACCCGTAACGTTGCTGGAATTGGTTGCTCTTGGCACCAATCAGGAAGGGATGGCGTGATGCCAATCCAATACCTCAGATCTGCCCTGGGATTGTCAAATACATGATCATGAACAGCGCAGAAAAGCCCACTCAGGACGAAATTCCCGGCCTATGCCAAGGCGCTGTTGACACCAAGATGCTATGAATTTCG